AATATGTATATTTGAAATGTACATTATTAATCATGATCGAAAAATATTAAAGTTTGGTCCAAAGCGAAAAGCTTTATGAAAATCAAACGCACTGATCTTCCAAGCTTTGATTTAAACACTTGATTTTTTTTACTTTAAGGAGATTTCTTCTTTTTTCTTACTTTCTTTTTTTTACTTTAAAAAATTATGTGTCAGTGTAGGTTGATTTTTCCGAAAGTATATTTTGATATCGATGGTCCTCTGCAATAACGACACAACCCAAAACTATAAAAAAAAGACCCCTTACTACTGATGAGGGACTCAAGTCTATAAACCTTGTCTAATCCTTACAAAAGTAAGTAGTAAGGATTACTAAAGTAAGGATTAGACATGGATTAGAGAATCCAAAAAAAAACAAACATTAAGATAAAATTCCGGAAGACTCAGAAAATAATCTATTTCGAAAAGTCCCGAAAAAATCCAAAAACAAAAAACGAAAAATAGGAAAAATGTATAAAAAATCCCGAAAAATCTGAACTTTAATCTTTAAGTTATTTAGAAAAAATCCAAAATTTGTACAAACGTCTTATAAGTTTCGAAAATTTTTCAACAAAGTTAGGAAACTTCTGAAATCCATAAGTAAAAATTATGAAATATACCGTAAGTTAACACGAAAAACCCCGCAAAGCAACGAAAATATTCGCCAAAATTCCGAAAATTTCAAAAAACGTTCCTAGTTCAAAATTTCAAGAATCAAATCCTTTCCAAAAAATGTCTAAAAAGAAAATTTGAAAAGCTATCAAGCAAATTTTTACTTTTTTCCTAAAACCAATTAAGAGAAATTAGGAAAAATTCAGTACCAAAACCCTAAACGTCGCAAACAGTTTCAAAAAATCGCGTGGAATCTCACAAAAACTCGAAAAATACCAAAGACATCTCGGTGGTTTTCCTCAAAAAATACCAGACAATTCCGAAAAAATGCAAATTTTTCAAAAATAGTTCCAAAAATTTTTAAAATTTCCAAAAATATTCGACAAAATCCCGAATAGTTAAAAAAAATCTAATTCGAAATGCCAGCATCAAATTCTTTTTTAAAAGTGTCTAAAAGGCAAAATTCAAAAAATTGCGAAAAGGCCAGCCAAAAACGAAAATATTGGAAATAATAGCGAATAGTTCAAAAAAATTTAATTCGAATGCCAGCATTAAATTATTTTTAAAAATTTCTAAAGAGTAAAATGTAAAAACTGGCAAGCAAATTTTGAGAGAATAGGAAGAATTTACAACAAAATCCCGGAGAGGAGTTCAGAACAAAATTCCGAAAAAATATTGGGTGGAACCTCAAAAAAGTCCGAAAAATACTAAGCACCACGTAGATGTTTCTCAAAAAATTCCAACCGATTCCCAAAAAACTAAAAAGTGAAAAATAATTCCAAAAAGTCCACACAAAAACTAAATCAAAAAATATATAGCAAATTTTGCCGTAATTACAAGTAAAATCTTCAAAACCACCATATAAAATGTTTTGATTTGAAAATTTTTATCTTAGTTTACATCAACAGTTTTTTCTTTCGTAGCGGACAAAAAGCCAATAATTGAGCCAGTAGTTTTGAATATCTGAGAACAAATTCACAAAAATTTAATTTTCAAAATTACACAATGCCCACTCTGGAATTCCACTTACCCACACCAGAAGGCTGTGGTCGACAATAAAGAGATATCCCGTTAGATTGGTGGAACGTTGTGCGCGCATTAGAGGCAACAGCAGTAAGCGTCTCATAGACGAAGGCATGCGCGCCCAAGGAAAAGTCAAATAGATATGATCCGAAATTAGTAAGCTCTACAAAAATGTAAATTTATTCGTATATACATAATAAAACCATCAAAGCTTAATAGCATATTTCCACCAAGAGCTTAACTGTAGTTAAGAGCTCAGGTAAGTGCAAATGCATAACTGCAGTTAGGGCTTGGTGGAAATGAACTATAAAGATTTGTTAGAGTCTGACCGCATTTTTGATTTTTTCACCACTAAAGCAGTAAATACACAATTGAAATGTGATGGTGACGAGTCCCACAACAATCACTGGAAAGCTAGATATATCAGCTAGATTGATTAGATTGTAAGCGCTGAAGCAAAGTTTTAGATAACTAACAGCGATTTCTATAAAAACGATGGGTGCATAGAGATCATCGAATTCTGCTGCTAACTCAATTATGTGCCGGTGATAGCGTAAGGCTTCCGTGATATTTTGTTGAAAGCTAACGTAATCTTCCTCGGCCAAAGTGGCAGCAACTGCTTCGAGTTTATGTTGTAGAATGCGAAAGTGTGCAGAAATATTAAAGATAAACCAACAAAATAACGAATCCATGGCAGCAACGGCATGTATGGCATATACTATGAAGGATATGCACCAGATGTAGGCAATGATGTAGAAGAATGGCTGCTGCACATTGAATGGAAAGCTGTTGGGGAGAAGTGAATTTTAGAGCGCTCAACAATTAGGACGCTTCAAAACATAGATACAAAAATAATTTTCGCTTACGCTGCATCGAAGGGCAGAATGAGTACTGCATGTTCATTGAAGCAGACACTGTACAAGAGTATAAGG